GAATTTTTCCCTGAAGCACTTTCTGCACCCAAATGACTTGCATTTAGTCAGTGGCTTTTGTTAGGATGCTGATAATGAAAACTTCTTATATAAACTATTAGAAGTGAAAAACTGAATCAATCAGGAGGTACATTTTGGATACTGAACTTCAAGGCTTTAGCTTATTATTTCCTAAAATCTAGGTCAAGCCAATACCAAGTTTCAAGCTTGAGCTTGTGATTATAGATTGATTGATGCAATTTGGCAATCTCAAATTAACAGCTCTCTTTTTTTCTCTTGAGGGGGGAAATATACAACAGTCCGGAGTAATGTTTCAAAGGCAATCTTTGAACTTGTGAAGCTGTGGGTATTATAAATTTTGGGATGAAGTAAGGATCATTTGAATCAGGCATTCATCTTTTCTGTCATATAGAATAGAACCTTTTTTCTTCATCGGATCTGTTTGATGCTACTCTGTTGTATCTTTAGGCATATGATGAAAAACATTCTGAGGATCATTTGAATGGGGCATCGGTAACTTCTGTCAATAGATAGCATTATTTCTCCCTTATATCTGTTTGCTACTACTTTCTTGTATCTTTCAGTCTCTGATGAAAAACATTGTGAGAATCATTTGAATCAGGCATTGATTGTTTTTCCCTCATATAGTTGCATTTTTTTTCTCTCAGGTCTGTCTGATTCTACCATGTTGTATCTTTAGGTCTGATGGAAAAAAAACTGTTTTATCTTTAACCTTATACAGGTACTGTGTTGCTTACTTGGGTGCTGCATGGAGCCTAATTCAGTTAGTTGGATCCTCTAACTTCAGTGTAAGTCATAACAAGTTACTTTATTTTTTTTCTGTAGAAGAAAATATATTCACTCATTTTTTGAGCTATCATTTATTGACATTAATTAATCTGCCTATTTCGGAATTTGAGGTTTAAAACACAAGATTCATGGATATGACACCTAATAATCTGGAATTAGGGTTTGATAGGGAAGAAAATAACTAGAAAGTAAGTAGGCCTTACGCATAGAATCCTTGAAGCATCACAGATAAGGTCATGTTTTCATGAAATCATACGGAGTGAATTTGCTGCATAATACCGAAAGAACATTTTTTAATAATTAAAATTGGAGATGTCAGATACCAATAACTACATCAATAACTTAATATTTATATGATAATCATATGAATAGTCTACCAAATGCTAAATTAGCGTGTCCTATTCATGGGTACCAAAATACACCAACCAAAATAGGAGTTTTTACCTCTATGTAGGAATTCTACTACAATAGGAAAATAAGCTAATTGATTTAATGAAACTATACCAGAGTACATATAACTAATAGGATCCTAATGAAATATAAAATAATAAACTCACACCAACGTAATTACACCTACTGGTACTTGTTCCTGAATAAGTTAAATAGCTAACTAATAGATAAACAATACAATTATATAAATATCTCTAGTATTGAAATATGTCCACTCTATCTTCTTGTTCTCATCAATAACTTTCCCTCTAGTATGAAAGTAATTGTTACGTACTTATAGGCTCTAATGTAGTCCTAACCTAATGATAAACTATACTTAAAATCGTAATGCTGCTAAATTTATTAATAGACTCCTAATTATTAGAATAAATTCTATATGTAAAAGGAATTTGTTTCTTAATCTATTCAGAAAGCATGGGTCAAATCCTTTCTCTATGTTGCATGTTCTTTTAGTCTATTTCCTTCTCTCCTATTCTTTGAGTATATTGTGCTGGGTTTTGAATTATAGTTACTTTTACCTGTAAATTTCAGGATGAACAGCGACGGCTCTCTCTATATGCTGCTTTATTTCTCCCATTCAGGCAGACTACATACAAGAATAAGAAAGCTAAACAGGTGCCATCCTGTTTCTTAGAATGAACAAAGACTGAAATTTCCTTTTTCTTTTTCTTCTGATGATTAAATTACTGGCATTTGGGACTTCTATGCTTGTTCATCTCAATTGTGAATTTTTTAGAGTTTCTTTTTGTTGCTTAGCCTGTGTTTCCATTCTGCAGGTTCCTGTTACAGACTACATTTTCAAAGAATCTCTCAAGCGAAAAACCAGTGATGCGGAAACAGTTAGTGTGGATTCACCATATCTAATTTATTAATAATAATTAAGTTTAATGGATACTACATTTTTATGTCCACTTATTTCAGGACTTCTGTCTGTTGCTATATTAAAGTCACAATTTCTCTTCTCTGTAGGTTAAAAATGTTCACAATGCACTGGAGAAATTCTTATTTTTGATTCCTTCTCTTGTATCTGATGAGGACATTCAACTTGATGATAGTGACTGGGCAAAAGAATTTGTTGATGTCCCCGTTACTGCAAGAGTGCGGGTACTAACAGGTACAAAATAATTGCTCCTCCAGTCCAGGCGGAGCCTGTTTTTATGTAATGGAGGCCCTCATTATTATAAAAAGTGGAACACAAAACTGCCACTAATTCAAGCAAAATGGATAAGGAGGACTAGCTTTTCAGTGAAAAAGAAATCAGAGAAATTGCTTGTCATCTGCTCTTTCTCTTTTTTTCCCCCATGGTGTTAACTACTTTGTTGACCTATTCGAAGACACACTTTGGGGAGTCTTTTTGGCATACCTGGAAATTTATTGATTAAAGTTTAATGAACATACTTGATGAGTGATAATGGTGGAGATACATCGAAACACGGCCTTTCTAAACTTGCAGCCATGCTTCAGTTATCATCTTTTGATGTGTGAATAAGGATGTCCTCTTTATATGAATTTCTGTTATTTAATCTTATAAACTTTAGCATTGTTTCATTTGGTGTCAATCTGCTAACCAAATGGAGAAGCCAGTGACGTCTTTAGAGCTGAGCCTCGGATATTCGCCTTAATGGGAGCTCCTTTGCAAGTTTCCATGGTCATTTATAATTTGAGCTTTTCTCTAACCCTATGTCACATACTTAGCTGCACGGCCTTGTTGTCTAGATTGTGCACCGAAGAGCCATATGGTGTTGTTGTGACTAATACCTTTTCTTGTTTATTTATTCAGGGTTCCTTCTCAGGGAAATTAAAGAATCCTGGACAGTTGCCTTGCTGATGTCTACATTGTTATATCCTATCGATGGTGACTGTAACCCAAGATATTTTAAATAAGAAATTTCAACTGGACAAGAGAAAAGATATATTTTGGGCGGTTGAGAATGCGATTGGTAAACTGGGTATGGACATAAACTCCTTTCCTCCC